CATAAATAAATATGCCGAACATAAATCCCTGTGCTATAAATAAGCGTGAGCACAGGCGTCAAGCAATTTATAGGCATTGATTTTCCGGCTCCTCGCTCCGGCGATTCCAATTTTTCCTCCAAACCTCCGGCACCCGGAAAAGTGACAAAAGTCTTTTGGGTTCACCCCGAAAAACTGAAAGTGAAAGTGAAACTTTTGCCTTGAGGTCGGGGGTCAGCCGCAGCACGTTGTTTGCCCCAATGTTGTCCAACTGACACTTATTAGATAAGTTTTTTGAGAAGCCAGCTTCTTTGCTAGCTCCCTGTACATCATTTCGCCATATGCCAAGAGAGGCGACTTCAATTTTAATTGCACGCTTAGCTGAGGAAAAAATAAGACTGCGGCCTCTTTGGAAATCCCCAGCTAAGCCGGTCCAATAAGACTTTTTATTGTCTTAGCCGGGGCATTTAAATTGATCAAAAATGTTGCAAGAAGCCAAACCAAAAGAGAAATCGAGAGACCTGGCCGAGTCTCTTGGCCTGACGATTTCATTCAATCTATAAGTAATTTCTTGGCCATTTTTATCACACAGCCAGGAGGAGAAAGCCGTCGTTGCCGGGCGATGAGCTGAGACCACCCACGTGATTTGAATATTTTTCCAATAAACTTCAACAGCTTTTCAACAGTTCCGAGTCCTGCCGCTTCCTTCCCATCCTGTTTTCATTTACATATTGGATTTAAATGCCCATGGACCAGGACTTTCTCCTTGCTTCCTTCCTTGTCCAGCTGAGTGTTTTTCCAGCTCGGCTTTGGCTTTTGTGTCAGAGGAATAAAAAAAAAAGGAGACGAGAGCTGAACAGCCTAAGCTTAATCGAATTTGCCGCAAATTGGCAATAAATTTTAATTTTGAAAGCGATTCCCCAGCGCTGATTGAAGTTAATCAAAGCGTGGCCGCAATTTAAGGGGCCCACTTGGACACTCGACCGAGAAGTAAGACTCCATTTGGCCACAATGCCAATGCAGTTCATGCACTCCATTGTCCCTGTTCTCAGTTCCCAGTTCTCAGGGCAATGCACTTCGCAGGCTGCAGCCCGAAATCCCATTCAATTTGCAGGTAAAAGCGCGGGCGCTCCAAGCAAAAACTTAGCAGCAAACAAGTTGCAAAGAGCAGGAGGCAAAAACAAGGCTTATTTACCTTCGGTCAGGAAGGGTTTTTTCCTCGGAAGCAGAAGCACCAGTAGCAGCAGCAGCTTTTGAAACTACTTCATCAATTTCATTCAGCACAACGGCGCCGCTTTTTTCCCTCTGCTCTCCTCTATCCTTTATTTTGTTGTTTCTAGTTTCTTTTTTTTTTTTTTTGGAGCCCATAATCAACTTAAAAGGCATTGGCAACAAAAAAAAAAAACAGCAAGTGAAATAACTACACAGGAAAAAAATTATAAAAGGTATTTAAAAATTCGCTTTCTACATCGGTTGATAAATATTTGTGAACTCAATTCCAAAAGAAAAATCAGTCTGCTTTAACAAACACATAATTGCGAAAAAAACAGTATTTAAAACTTAGAAAAATTAAGGAGAATTTTCTACGTAAAAACAAAAAGTAAAAGTAAAAGTAAAGTAAAAATCTTCTGATCTTTTACATGTTCATTAGATACTTATAACAAAACCCTTGATAACTTCTAGATTACTCTTAATGTTTTTTTAAAAATATATTTTTAATATTTTCATTTCATTTTTTTGTACTTTAAATTTAAAAAACCCAAAAATTGTTTGCAATGTAAGCTTAGACCGTTGTGAAATAATGTTGTAGTTGTGAATATAGCTGTTGCTGGTTGCTAGTTGTTGGTTGCTGTCGGTTGGTTGTTGGTTGCTAGACTGCCAGAGGCATTGGCATCGCCATTACGATGCCAGCGATTACGCCCACTTTGGGCCAAGAGACAGGACGCCCTATGTTTCGGCCATGGCTTGTCGCCTGTCTGTCGCTATCCTTCGAGCCTTTGCCATTTGCCACGGAAACGGATTTGACGAGCCATGCAGCACTCGCAGGAGCAGCGTTTCGACACTAATTTCATTTGGTAGCGACAGTTTTTGTGGCCAACATTGGTAACAAAGGGCCCCGGCAACAGTTAAAGGTTGAAAACACGTCGGCTACGTCGTCAAATAAGTTGTAATTCCACTGCATTACGTTTAAGTTCAATTTGCGAGCTGTTGAGCAAAACACGACTGAGTGTCGAAAGTTTCTCAAAGTATTTATTTATTTTGCACGCAGCAATTGCGCTTGCCTTGCGAGTTAACTGAAAACTGTAAATGGTTTTTAGCGCTCGGCGGTTAAGACAACCGAGAGCAAACAGACGCTGATGGCTGCCTCTTGTTTCCTTTCATTTAGCCAAGTTCTCAAGTGCCGGCTGCAGTTTACTCTTTTTTGCACCGCTCCCAAAGGACGAGGAAATCAGCAAAACGGAGTCGAAATAACGAAGTAAATTCAAGGATGGCAAATGGAAAAAAATCTGATATTTAAGCATAATATTCTGTAACTATTTATTTACTGTGCATGCTATAAGGTTTGGAATGTTATGGGTTTCAATGTTTTATTTTGATCTGGAATATTTTGCTTTCACTAAATTGCATTTTATCTCATTCTCCACATCTCTATTTTTATCGAATAACCTACATATCTCTTTGCCTGCAGCAAACGGCATGTGGAATAAATTATTTTGGTTTTTATCTCATTTTCTTTCCGATTTTTACGTTGAAATTCTTTCAATGTTTACTAGTTGATTTAATTTCCTTTTCGGTATTTAATTTTATTTCCTACATTGGCATTTGGCTAACGGTTATGCTAAAACTATTTGAGTATATTCTATTTCATACAAAATTTGTTTTTAATTTTAGTTTTAATAAATTGGTATTTCCAATTTCGAAGAATCCTAATTTTATAAAAAATTTGTATTTAATTTCAGCATAAGTAAAATGGTATTTCCAATTTCGAGAAATCAAAAGATTAGCTTCCATTTTATATTCAGGATTTTTCTATACTTATATCCATAAGTATTAGTTCTCACTATAATTTATTTAACTCCATTTGCCACCTGTCTTCGATTTCCACTCCTTGAACACCCTTTCGATTTTTCCACCTGGAACTGCCATTCGAGCCATCCTCTTGAGCTGAAATAACCGTTTCAACTTTGACTCTGCCGCTCGAACACGATTTCTATATGGGTTTTGGTGCTCTCAATCTGACAATCGCATTGGAAATGCGTGTGCGCCACGCTTTAATGCGAAATTCTGATTGCGCTCGAATGGCTTCATTTATTTTCGCCACCAACGACCAGCAAAAAAACAAGAAAAAAAGAGGGGAAAACAAACAAAAAGGCAACGAAGAAAAACTGCGAAAAAGCGCAAAGGAAAAACAAACCCGACAGTTGTACATAATATTTCACTTATGCATGTGCGCCCCCTCGGAGCCTGTGAGCAAAGTGAAATGAATGAACGAATGAATGAGTGGCATGCGTAGCGCTAGAAAATTTGTTATAGCAATTTGAACTGTCAACGGAAAACCGAAAAAGTAAATTAAGAAACATTTGAAATTTAATTCACTTGCCAGCAGGCCCAGTCCTTCCGGGGACTATTGCCCCTATGGGGGATATATACGTATTCCTAAATATATATATGCGGAGGGTATGCACATTAGAGAGCTCGTGAGTGGCAGCATCATAGTCGCAGAGCATACCTGTCTGCCAGGTGACACCTCCACTTGCCACTTGAGCAACGTAACACAGCAACGCCGAGAACAACTGACAGACCCAACACACACGCTCAAGCTTTTTAACTCACACAAATGCACTTGGAAAAAATCCAGGAATAAAGCTAAGTTCTAAGTCTTTAAAGACAAAAGAGTTGAGCTCAACAAACTGCAATTGTGATTTTTACTTCCATTATATCTGAAATTTGGATCTTACTGAAGGACTTTTTGTAGAGAAGTGATACAATATTTATATTTTATCTGATAAAAACAACAGTTAAATAAAAAATATAATATAATAATCAATACTTTAGTAAACTTAAGAAAACTGTTTTGAATATTAGATTCTACCAATATGTTTTATATTTGAATTTTTAAAATTAAAAAAAATGTTGTTAGAAAAATGATCTATGTTTTCAACATCCGTAATTTTCTCCGTGCACAGACTTTTTGGAGACCTGCAAAATTAGGCGAGTGTCACGAATTTAAAATAACTTTTAATTCATTCTTGATGAACATATGCAAACGTTGTTGCTACAGCCCTAGTGCCACACGGCGTATGAGTGCGGCTGGGAAATGAGCCCCCAGTGCGAGTGCGAGTGCGAATGTGAATGCGAATGGGTGGGTGTGTGAGTGCGGGTGTGAGTGTGCGGTTGCCACGCCTCTTGAGTGCCACATAACTCGGGCTCCGCATAAACAACCGCACTCGCATAAATGTTCGTTAAACTCAACCCGACTCAGACAGAAATGTGGTGGTGGTGGCAGTAGTAGGAGTAGGAGCTCCACCTCCTCCCCACCTGAGCCACATAATTATTTAGTTTCCAGTTGGACGGATGCTGTGCTACAGCTACTTGGGTAAATATACGGGGGGATCCCCTGTCTTCGATTGTCATAAATCAACATGGAAGCGGGGAGTAGGGTGTGGGGAGCCCAGAGATCGGGCTATAATGTCAACCGATTGGTTGGGCGTTGGCATATGTTCGCTCCGCTGACCAAAATGCCCAAGGCCTCTTTTGACAGGTGCAAGTTTGAGCGACCCACTTAAGGGAAAAATTCAAATTTCTGTTTGCAGTTGCCGAACTTTCCGGTTCACTTGCCAGGGGAAATAAGCGCAAAAGGTATAGAGCCCTAACCCGTGGCAAAATAAAAAGTTAGCGTAAATTATGCGCCAACGTGCGCGGCCCTAAGGAAAAAAATAAAAAAAAAGTCCCAACAAAAAGCGTTGGTAGTGCATTGAACTGGTACTTGTACTTGTTTTGCGATGCGATGTGATACCAACCTTATAGCGAATACTTCTGTGCTCCTTCAGCACTCTTCCACCAACTTCCAGCTGGCGGTAGTTGTTGTGGTTTCTGCTTTTCCGCTTTTCCGCTGCCTGCCGGTTTATGCTTTCTAATCCACGCACGTTTTGCTTTTAATATTTATTTTGCGCTTTTTCACACTTTGCTTGCACACCGAGACAGACACACACTCACTCAGACTCAGACTCAGACATCAAAGGATAATCGGGTGGGCTCTGGTCTGTGGAGGTCCTGGGGTTCTTCTGATTATCGATGAACCGAACCCCACGCTCCGGGGATGAGGATAGCGGATTGCGGATTGGTTTTTGTTATGCACGGCGGGCGGCGCGCACAGTTCATCAATGCAAATTGCCACTGAACCACGAACCGCGTTATCCTCGGCGGGTTATCTTGGCCCACTGATAGGGGGCATTTGTGAAAAACCGGTCTCTTGTTTATATAATTTATATTTTCTATTTTCAATTTACAACCGAAATTGCAATTCCCCAGTTACTTTTATATAGAGAGAGCTCACTGAACACCAATGTTATTTGATTATTGTTGTTGTTTACTTTTGGGCCAAGCTAGTCAGCTTTTCCTTTGTCCCAGTGGGAGCGTGTTATAAACACCGTTACACTAACCGACCCGCACGAAGGACCTTTTTCAACTGATTCGCTTTGGCAGTCGGCTCGCCAACCCGAAGGCTCCAACGGCCGATCGTTCGAAACCCCTCGTGTTTGTGGAACCCAAGTGCTTCGGGTTTTTCCGGTATTGCAAACGTTTTGGGAAAAGGACCCTGTGGATGCTGTGTGCCAAGTCCCAACTGTTCCGCCTGATAAGAGGCTGCAATGTTTTTTTTTGCTTTTTGTTTTTTTTCGACCCGCGCGCATTGACAACAATTTATTTTTTGCACGTTGCTCGCATTTAAATGTTTTTGCTTATTGTCTTCCGTCTCTCTCGCTGGGAATTTCAGTTGTATATTTGTGTGTATGTGCGCACTTTTTTTAATCACTTAAAAATGTATGCGTCTTTTTTGCGTTATTTTTTGTCGACACGTGCGTGTCAAAATGCTGCCAAAGGGTTAAACGTCAAAAGAAAAAAGAGAAGACACACGCGGGCTGGCAATTTGTTGCCAAGTTTATTACAGTGACAAACAGGCCAGGTCCGAACGAACTGCACGCGCTAAAGACGTCACGCAGCCCGATATGCAATGCCAAAGTTAATGGCTATAATCCCGAACGAGTTGGACAAGTCAAGTAAGGAGGCGGCGAAAGCGAAGGAGCAGCCGTTTCTTTTTACGAGTGCGTAATAAGAAAGCGTGAGACGTGCCAAAAGGACGTGATGCCACAAAAACAGGAGTCTCTCTCTCTCTTGGAGTTTTTTAAATTAAGCACGCATCCCATCCTAATCCTGGCCAAATTAAAAACACTATCGCACCGTCATCGTGGCCCAGAGAAAGTATGGAGAGAGCGAGAGGCCGAAAAGAGAGAGAGCGCCCGTCGGCCGGGTTAAGAGCCTGACTAGGTTAGTGGGCCAGCAACTTAAGCCAGCAATTAAATTCGAGCATATTGACTCGCAGGACATTCTCATCCGCGAAGGTGTTATCCTGGCATATGTGTGCACTCACTAGTCTCTTCTCCTTTCACTAAGTATTTTTCAATTAAAATGTCGGCGAAAACTTCCACGCATGATAAGCACAAAAGTTTGTTCATTGTCAGCGCCTAAAAGCATGCTACAAACTTTGGCCGCAGCGAATTTCGACCGAATTTCTCACAGGACCAAAAAGAGCAGACAGTCGAGTCTCGACGGGCGCCCATCAATCTCTCGTGCCCCCGCATAACATAATGTGTTGGTATTTCTGCAACTTCCGATGCCGATTCGCCTCTTTTTTTTCCAAAGACGACTGCCAGCGACACATATTTAAATCAGACAGAAATCGCGGCACTTGAATCGGCTTCCGGGCGCTTAGGCTGTTGAAAAATTAACTTGTCCGCCACAACTGGCGCCAGTAAATAAGCACGATTTCGGCTTTTAAGGGCTAATATCCACTAAAAGAAAAAAAAAGAAATTTATACATGAAATTTAACATATATTTAGTAACTACAACGTTTGATAAGGATAAATTAAATATAATTTTATTAAGCTTAAGAATAAGAATATTTTAAAGGTAAAATATTAAAAAATTAATCTGAAGGACAAAGCTTTTTAAACAGTAAAGATGCTCGTTTAAAACTAAGCTGTCAACTTTTAGAAATTTCATTAAAAAGGTGAAAAGGTGAATGGTGATTTCCTAGGAATTTAAACATTTCCCTCGGTTTCCATAGAAACCCATGACTTTGAGGTGCTTTATGTGCTCTTTGTTACCAGGAATTAAGGGACAACCACCCTCTGCTTTTCTGTGAGTGTGGTTTTTGAAAAGCTTCTAATCTAAGTGCTATGGAATCATCAGCGATGTGACGGCGATGTGTGGGCAGGGATTGGGATTGGGTGTCCTGGGGGATATTGGAGTGCGAAGTGTCCCTGCTCCTGTCCCTGGTCAGCATTAAACTGGACAAAGCTGTGCCTGTTGCTGTTCTCTGCTGTGCTGTGGTGCCTTTGCTTTTGGCCGCCTGTCCAGTACCGTTGATGTGGATGTGGATGTTTCTGTCTGCTGACATGAGCTGCAAAGTGCGGCACGTGTTGGCGTTACAATTTGGCATGGGCCAGAAACAACAACAGAAAGAACAACAACAACATGGTGGCTGGGCGTTCGGGACAATGGCAAACGCTTTTATGTGCCGTAATGAAAAACTGTTATCTGCGTGCGCAATTTGAACGCAATTTGGTAACGCGTTTCGCCACATAAAACTTAAGTGACCCGAAACCGGGCCGACAGGAAAGCTAGCAAGCTAGCTAGCTGCACATGGCATATGGCACATATACCGTACACCCAAAAAAAACCGGTTATGAAACGATCATTAATTTGATATTATGTGGTATTCATTTTTACTCGATATGCGGCATAGCAATTCGATATGCTAGAGATGTAAACAACTGGCTCTCTCTCTCTTTTGAAGTCAGAGAATCTCCGAGGGAAAGAAATCGGAAAAATTACATTATTTAATATCAAATTTACCAGTATTGAAAGATATGCGTATAAATACTAGAAATTTCGATTTGATCCCTGTGTGTTTTTTTTTTGTGTGTAATACATAGCAGTCCTGAGATCTAAAGGACCTTTCCACCTCCTTTTTCGGTTGTGTCGTGTGTTTATGGCCCTGCGTGCAGCTTGCAAAAACTGTTGACACTCGCAGGAAAATCAAAAGGCCAAGGAAGGAAGGTCGCTGGAAAAGCAGCCAGAGTGTGAGAAATGAAATTGTTTGGCGATTATGCAGCATTAAAGCCAAATGTGCCGTTCACCGGCATCCGTTTCACTTTGTCGTCGTCGCCGCCATCAAACGCACTTTACTTTTATTTACATGTCACTCAACTAAGGCGCACACAAAGCCCTCGTTTCACATTCCCGCGGAAAACCATCGTGCGGCAACAGATTTGCTGCAGCTGCGGCTTTGGCGAACTATCATTAACATGTGGCATCCGGCGACCCCCTTAACCCCCGTTACCCTTAACCCTTGACTGCCCCTGCCCCCACACAACGTGGACAACAAAAATCCGGCGCTCTTGCAGTTTTTACCACTTTTTGTGCCCGCCTGGCTGCCGCTGCTGCTGGTGCTTATTTACTTGTAAAATTTATTAAATATTTTTGTGGCCGTTCCCTTTGCTTTGTTACCCTTTTTTCAAGTCCTCCTGTGCTTTTCGTTTTTTTTTTGTATTTTTTTTTTTGTTGCCTCTCATTTTTTGTGTACCGCAAAATTGCTGACGTTTTTAATCCTTAAGAAGCTTTTGGCTCACATTTTTACTGCAGCCAACGTTTAGAGCGGGTTTTACCTTTCTTTTTTAATATGCATTTTGCATAATTTTCATATAAACATTACTCATACGCCATGTGCAACATGCAGAAGCAGCAAACCCAGCACAGCAGCAGTACTGGAGCTACATAATAAGCAAAACAATTTAGCCAGCTTAACACAAATGAAATTTTGAGCCGGGTTCAGTAAACCACGGTTGTAATTTGATTGGCAGAGGTTACGGGCACCAGGTACAGTGGTCCCTTCCGCCTGTGGTTCAGCATTTGTGTTGGCTTAATAAACTTTTATTGAGAGCACGAGAGATCGCACAAATATCAGCCTCGAAAACTCGAAAATTCAGATGCCAAACAAAACCATGGACGATATTAGACAACAATAACAGCAGGGTCTTGCCAGGGGCGTAGATAAATGGGGACGATGGGGGAAACTTACTCGTAAATGGCCAGATAAAATCAGGAATCAAAATCCATCCAACGCCCCTGCAGTTTGCAGTATTTTTGTGCGGGCCCAAGCTGCTGCTTTTGGCGCCGCCGGCTATCAAATTTTAATTAAAATTCAAAAACCAATAAATGCTCGGCTGCAAGAAACAAAAGGGGGCGAAATACTCGCTCGCTCTGAGAAAATAAACTTGCATGCCGCATGCTGCGTGCAGCACAAAAGGATGCCACTAAAACGATCTATTAAAAATATTTCGCATGCATATTATTCTATGCACTTTTTCGATTAAATTCATTATTTTGCAAACCCCTTCTCCGACTCCTCTCACATGTATGTTTGTGTCTGGCTGATAAAATAATGTTTATGCAAGCTAATTGAGAATTGCGTAATCTAAAATTCAGGGGTCAGACGTAAACCAGAACTCAAAAATATTTTTGTGTTTCGAATTTTCGAACGAATTTCCGTATCCCATCAAAATTAGTTGCAGGCATTTGAAGCAATGGAAAAGGTAATTGTGTAACGTCACATTGTCCAATCCTCGCATGCCGCAAACTTTCGCCCAGTTCAAGGAACTATAGAACTTTTGCCTGGTAATTAAGCACTGAACAGAAACAATGCCGGAGTATTTTCCACTCGCTTGCCCGTTTGTCTATTGTTGTTGCTGTTGCCGCTTGTTTGGCTTATAGTTTAGCTATGCACTGCGGAATATAATGATTTCTAGAGTTAGGGACATTTTATGATAGTTTTTAAAAATTTGTAAAATTACAGAAAATAGTAATTGTGAAAAGTTAAATGATTTTTGTATTCTATATAATATATAATAATATATTTAATATTATTTTAGGCAAATCTAGTGAAAACTAACATTTATATATCCACTTCGATATAATTGCTTAGATCTTATTTTATATATTATATATTTTATTTCATTGTTGGATGAACAGCTATAATCGCTGAAGTAATTATCAAAAATTATCTTAAGTTCCATATATATTTAAGACATGCAATCTTAAAGATACTTCTAATTTTATTTCCTTGTTAGATAGCCACAAATATTTTCCTGTATTTGAGAAAGGTAAACTTTATAGACTCCCAATTAGGGTTATATATTTTTCTGGGTGCAACCCAGCTGCAGCTGCACTACATCCAGTCAGCTGCTGCTTTTCGCCGGCATTGTTTATGTATCTTAAGGATAATGACGCGCTTCATTATGCGCCTGTGTGAGGATGCCCTGGATGCGATGCTCCTGCTGCCTGCTGCCTCCTGCCTGTTGGCTGCTTTCTGTTGGCGCTCCTGGCGCTTT